GGACTATAGAAAGGCATTAGAATTCTTCTGCTTTTCATTATCACAAGATTCAGTAACTCATTTCATTGTCAAGATAATCCCCTTTTACTCTTTCTTTTGCGCTTGCGGGGTATGCCGAAATGACAAATAAAATCCCAGATGTTACAGACCCAATGAGGTCTCCACCTTTCCTTGAGTGTTGGGTTTAAGCTACTTGGGACATAGTGTCAAAAATGACAGGACCCTGATGCCCACACCCAATATTCATTAAGGTTTGTTAGTGATTTGTATAGCTGTCTACAAGCTGCTCTTCCATTTCAATCCTCGGTGGCAGCTTGAAAGTTAAGTTTGTCCTCTGGCTTGAACTGTCAAAGAATTCATTTCCTATTGTTCAGACATTGGAAAGTGAAGCTGTTTCTTTCTTTCTAAAAGTAATGAAAGTCTTTGGGGTGTTGTAAATGGCTGGCTATTGCGACATATTATTTTAGGTAGTCATATCTAATTTAGTGTTTTATTTCCCCTTAGGCTTACTTGCATTTTTGCCGCATCCAACAGCTATGACAACGCCTTAAGAGATTTTCCTCAGGAGATCCAGTTAACTGTGGAATGAAAAGCTGGAGCTCCACTTTGGATCAATTAATGACCAGGTTTCACTTTTCAGTACATGAAAAGGAACTTTACATTTTATGGGTCTTGAATTCGGTGAACACGAGAAGAGGCATTCCTCTATGTGAAAAATAACGTGGCTATGCTGTCTTTCTCTCTATTTTTGTTTATACACACAGATAAGTGCATCTGGATGACAGAGGCCGGGGTAGTGAAAGTTATTTAAACGACAGCTCTTTGACCAGAAGGCGTTCAACTCACTGTTTTCTGCCACGGAAGACAAGTCCCCTAAGTGCCTATGGATAGAGGATCCTTGCAACTTTTCCCCAAATTCTGACTAAAATGTGAACCAAGATGGCCTCACTTAGGCTCTTCTCCCGACCCTTTGTGCCACTGAACTTGTTCATATCCCATTTCCCTTTTCCTTATCTACACGGAGCCCGCTAATCTAAGTGTCCCTGAGCAAGAGCGAGGCAGCCTAAAGAATGGCCATTGCACAGCCTGAATCGTGTACCCTCATTTGCCAAAATTTAAGGAGTGCCGCCCTAATAGAGCCATAATTTACTCTGACAAGGGGAGCTAAAGTCTGCAGCTCACTCCCCGCCCTGCCTATGGAAAATGCTACACTGCGTTCACAATTTATAGCTACATACTTAGGGTTTCTCCAAAACGACATACTTCAAACGACAAAAAAAAGATTGTATTATGTGTGTAGGTGGGGGGAAGGGTGTTGTTTTTAAAAAGAACACACTATAGAATGGGATGGATTTAATAGAGAGCAAAAGAAATACTATCAGCCTTAAAATGTTTCAGAAAATAAGATAGAATCTCTAAATGAGATTCATTTTGTTATTTTTTTTTTTCAGTACCGTATGCCAACTGAAAAAAATCTAAGCATTACGTCTACTAAAATCAGAACTTCAGAGCCATTTTACCAAAGACATATGGGAGAACATAAGTATTCTAGCAGAAATACGAGTTAGGTTATTATAAGTCACTGTTACATTAGCATCTGCAGAGTAGAAGTAGGAAAAAAATCAAGTCCCTTGAAACTCTCATAGTTTAGGGTCACAGGATAGTACAGAAGGCTAAGAAGAACTTGTGGATTTCTTTTCTTTTTTAAATTGAAAATATTTAACCATTTCATTTTGTTTCAAATGATGAGAACGTTTCAGTGAATAATTTGTACATATTTTGTTGCAAAAACCAGTAAACGAATAGGAAAACGTCCTAGATTTAAATGTATTGTCAATGTCTTGGGAAGAAGATTAACTTTCCCCTTTCATGCTTTTATTATTCCTTTTCCCCATACTCTTCCCATAAGCTTATGACAGTTTAGATGATAAAAAATACAATCCTTAGACGAACTCAAATATTTTTTGTACCTTTCAGAAGTGAGGAAACATGCCTACGACACATTCCCCATTGTGTTTCTCTAAATTTTACTTAGAACATAAGATTCCTCTGGCATTACAAATCTATTTCAGCTCCTAAATTAAAACTCATCTGGAAAGGACTGTTTTACCCTGTTTATATAACATTGTCACATAAAGAGTGTTAAAAAAAATATTTCACTAAAAATAGCTTGCGTAAGTTAGGGATTAGAGTAGTTTCTGCTGCTATAATTGTTCCTTTGTAGTTTTTTCCATGATGTTTTTGCAGTGTTTTTGACTGTGTTTATTAAAGTCAGCACATCAAAAAGGATCAAAGAGAAAGTGAGTGAGAACCAAAGAAACCCCAAGTGTGTTGTCTCATTGGGGAGTTATGCAGATTTTGCGTAAACAAGTGCAAATTGTTGAGGTTTTAATGAAAATTTTCTACAATTATTTTATCTTAAGTCATTCTATACAATAACATCTGTACAGCAGATGGCCATACTGTACCAAGGCAATGCTCCTTTTTCTCTCTCTGTTTAATAGTACATCTGAGATGACTACTTTTGTCACTGTGCTCAATTTGGTTCAGCAAATAATTTGAAAAGTGCAGCTGCTGCAGATGGTCACAATAGTTATATAAACTGTAAAATCAAAGACACAGTTAGGTATTTCTGTATTAGATTCAAACTATAAAAATCTGACATTAACTCTGTTGAGCTCAAAGATATACTATAAAAAAGTTTAGTTCAATGCAGAACGATGTCACTTGCGTAATAAGAAAAGAAATATAACTACTGGTAGGAGGGTTTTTTTTGGGTGGGGGGTGGTGAGGGATACTTTTTACCACTCATGAAAAATATACCTTGCATGTATATTTGAGTGTATTTCATCCAGGTTGCAAAGCATGACTTTTTAAGATATTCAACTATATAATGAAATTAATGTTCAAAGCTTAAAAAATGATATTTGGCTTTTAAAAAGTTTTGCTCAGCTATACATTAATTTTTGAAAAATATGTAATAATCTCTCAATTATAATTTCCCAGAAATCAGCCATCAGCAATAACTAGAACTTAACACAATCTTATTTTATTTGATTATAATTAGTGATTATTTTGCTAACGTTATCTTCTTAAACTGAGCATGCTGTTGCATGAAGGAGAAATGTAGAGAACAGATTTGGCATTCGTTATATGTTCTCATAATAAAATTGTTCCTATTAAATAGCTAACTTCAATTTGATTTGATTTGTTGACACAAGTAACTACTTGAGAACGTTTGTTGGACGCTACACATTAGACTTGTATAAAGAATGTCTTTGTAGGAGCTATAGTTTCTATTTCTGTGTTTAGCTAGATTGAAGGGCATAACTGTAAAAGAGATAGGGGTATGTAGTTTTTCCAGTATGAAGGGGAAAAAAAAAAAAACAAGTTACAAAAGCAGAATGAGTCCACTATCTTGTGGAGCTCAGTGAGAGGATTTTAACGACATTATAGAGATGTTTACTGAGGACAGATACTATTAAAAGTGGGTAAAATATGAGTAGCAACCGAATAAAACAAGACAGAAAAGGACCTGGAATTGAGGACAGTCCATTTAAATTCTTTCCCTCTGTTTGCGTCCTAACCTTTCCCTGCTGTGATGAAGGTACGACTGGAAAGGCGTGGGAACCGGCCAGTGTCGTCTGGGTTGCAATCTATTTGTGGATAAATCAGACACTGTAGCCTCCAGTGCTTCACAGTCTTTCATGTCCCACGGACCTTACATTTTTCATTTCGAACTTTTAAGACAATAAAAAAAATACAGTGCTTTTAGCTGGCTTGGTCACAAATATTTCTGGTGAGAAAGAAATAAATCATCTACTTTTTGGCCTAAAACTCATACTTCTCAACCATAAAACTTTTCCTTTATCTCTTAAACTACTGCGCCCAAACTGACTATATGGAACTAAGTTCCAGGGAGTCTCCAGCTGCTACTTACCTACTTTTTAGTAAGCAACTAAGTTGCATAGAGTTTCAGGATTTACTTTATCCCCTACACTATCCCTCTAGCCCCAATTCTTTCCTGCAAATTAAAGTGGAAAAAAATGTTTCCGTTTTGCTACTTTTACTTTTCAAAGTATAATTTCTGGCACTGTGCCCTGAACTCCTACAGTAGCAGGTTCTGTGCTGGAAGACTGTTACTTCCCACCTGTACCTTGCCTTTTCTCTTCCCCTCTTCCCATTCCTTCTGCCTACTCTTTTCCAGTGTGAAAAAGCACATTAACACTTCAGTCATGGTAACAAAAGAAAAATGTGGACGTCATTGCCGGTTAATTTCTCACCTCTCCACCCATCAATGCCATCCAGTTTGCAGGGTCCTCACCACCCTTTGCGAGGCTCGGTCCTGAAGCGTAGCTTTCGTCTGCCAGGTACTGCTGGCTCGGTCAGTGGCACTGTCCTTGCCAAGTTGAACCTTGGTTTTTGCTACACTTTGTGTAGCATACTTGCCACCTGAACAATTTCTCTCTTTTTAAATAAATTGTTACCAGTGACTTAATACAGTGCATCAGAATCATCTGTAGAGCTTTTGGAACACAGATTTCTGGGCTCCATGCCCAGAGTTGTTGATTCAGTGAGTCGGGGGGAGGGTCTGAACCCTGGCATTTCTAACCAGTTCCTAGGTGATGCTGATGCTGTTGGTTCTGAGACCACGCTTCGAGAAGCACTGCACTAAGGGTTCACAAAACTTGATACTCCACGGTTCCACTACGCTATTTTAGGTAAAAAGGAATTTAGAAGTGGATGATTTTACAGACATTTGTAGGAACATGCCTGAAGAGATGGATACCAACAGTTTCATTTAGGGTGTTAAAATATTTAGGTTCAAAGGATTTGTTATAAAATTACCTCTTAAAATAAGGTCACAAATCAGAAATGTCCCCATCTGTAATGGTCCTTATAACTTTTAACCTCTACATAATATGAATCTTCAAAATTATGCATTTTCAGAGGCAAACAAATCATATTATTATCTCCCTCTCCCCCTTTCTGTGACTTACCAGGTACTTTTTGTGCTGCTTTAACATTAAGGCTTCCACTGAGGGTTGATAAAGATGCTAATAGGCACGGTTTACTAGGATGGGGGACAGTTTCCATGGAGACCACAATCTGAGTAGTATGGACAGAAATTTTTTGAAAGCAAGAAACAGTTCTCCACATGTTTTCTTGAAATGGAATCTTCTGTGCTCCATCACCGTGAACCTTAGGTTTCGACAACTTTCCATGGTAACATTTTGAGGCTGGAAACTCATCCTTATTCAGCGTGGTATCTGATGGGGCTGAAGTCTCTTTGCTGTGTGCACTTCTTATCTTCTTTAATAAATTGTTTATCTGATCCAACTTGGTAAAACTCAGGTTTGCTTTCAAAGGCTTTGATATGTCCAAGTTGATGTCTGCTACAGAATTGAAAAAGATAAGAAAAGTACTGAAGCTCTGTCATTGAATATAAGCCCTTACTTCCCTGTCAAGCTCCTATTTAAGTCTCCCTACACTTGTACGGTGGACTCATTAGGATGCCAGGTGTTACAATTCTTTTACTCATCACCTAACTGATCTTTCCATGTAGTTACTTGAAGGAACACTTTCCCTGGACTACTTACGTGCCTACCTTCCTGTCTCAATCCATCTGACTGTTCTGACAGAGTGAAGGCCATGCATGGACATCTATTTCAGCCCTCCCACCTTGAGACAAACTTAAGCAGCTCTTTTAGTTTGTTACTGGAACTGGCATTCTTTCCTCCAGGTAAAAGGACTTCCCCTAGTATCTAGCACAATGTTTGACACAAATACTGGTGTCAATAAATATCTGTCCAACTGACTAACTGAAGTAGCCTGCCCTACTCCATTCTCTGATCAAGTATATGCAGAGAAGGTTTGTTTCCCCTTTGTGCCCTACATTCCGCATTTAAAAACATTTAAACACCCCATCCAATGTAACATATGTACACGGAGATCTCTTAAAACCCCCAGTCCATTTTATATGTACCATATACCAGATGTTGTCCTTATTTGCTACTCAGCACCTGACATTAAAACTGACCAGCTTTAATTTTCTGTTTTTGCCTTCTTACTTCTGTTTTCATTATCAGTAAGACCCAAGACTATAAGCGTTGTGAAGGCACAGCATGTCATACATCTTTCTATCCAGTGCTTGGCACACTGTGTCTCGCCTATGTTTGAGCATAACTGAACCTAACAAGTGTTCTTTTCACTGGAGACTGAGTATATACTACAAGACACAATCCCAGATGAAGCCAATGGCAAGGTTATTAAGCAGATAAAGTTAGTGTCTATACCTTTCTTCATAAGGAGGAGAACCTTACAGTTTTCTCCTGGCCACCCACGTTCCCTCGGGGTGCCACCCTTTTTAAAGATTTTATTTATTTATTTGACAGAGAGAGACACAGCGAGAGAGGGAACACAAGCAGGGGGAGTGGGAGAGGGAGAAGCAGGCTTCCCGCCGGGCAGGGAGCCTGATGCGGGGCTCGATCTCAGGACCCCAGGATCATGACCCGAGCCGAAGGCAGATGCTTAACCACTGAGCCACCCAGGTGCCCTGGTGCCACCCTTTTTAAGTGTGCCTTCCCATGTGTTTCTTTAATCGGGCCTAGCAAAACTCTGAGAGTCCTACTTCTAGCTAGTTGTCTGCCAGAAAGGATCAGACATCTGAGTCACCCTTTGCAATACCAAAATGCTCCCTGTTCCCCATATTTTTTTTAAACAGAAAAAACACCCTAACTTAAAGGAATTATTTTTTTAACTTCCTATTGATAGGTTAACTCACCCACCATACAATTTACTTACTTAAAGTGAACAATTCAATGGTTTTTAGTAAACTCACAAGACTGTGCAATTTTTGCCTCTATTTCCAGAACATTTTCATCACCACACCCCAAATAATCCCAGACCACTTAGCAGTCCCTCCCCACCCATTCCCTACCTCTAGCCTCAGGCAACTACTATTTTAATTTCTGTCTCTATAGATTTGCCTATTCTGGACATTTCATATAAACAGAATTACATAATATCTTGCCTTATGTGTCTGGTTTCTTTCAGTTAGCGCAGCAAAAGTTTTAAGGTTCATTCCTATTGAAACATGTATCATTAATACTTTATTCCTTTTTTTTTTTTTTTAAAGATTTTATTTATTTATTCATGAGAGATAGAGGGAGGCAGAGGCAGAGGGAGAAGCAGGCTCCCCGAGGAGCAGGGAGCCCGACGCGGGACTCGATCCCAGGACCCTGGGATCATGACCTGAGCTGAAGGCAGACGCTTAACCAACTGAGCCACCCAGGCGTCCCAATACTTTATTCCTTTTTGTGGCTGAATAATACTCCCTCATATGGATATACCATATTTTGTTCATCCACTAACAGTTAATGGACATTTGAGGTATTTCTATTCTTTGGCTATTATAAATAATGCTACTATGAACATTCATGTGCAAATTTTTATGTGATCATGTTTTCAATTCTCTTGGTATCTACCTAGGAGTGGGACTGCTGGGTCATATTTGATTACAGTCACACCTTGGTGGGTATGAAGTGGTAGTCCTTGTGATTTTGATTTGTATTTCCCTAATGGCGAGTGATGTTGAATGCTTTTTCATGTGCTTATTGGTTATATGTATATATTCTTGGAGAAATGTTTATTCACATCCTTTGCTCATTTTAAAATTGGTTAATCTTTTTATTATTGAATTATAGGAGTTCTTTATATATTCTGGATACAAGGCCCTATCAAATACAGGATTTGCAAATATTTCCTCCCATTCTGTGGATTGTCTTTTCAGTTTTTTGATGGTATCATCTGTAGCACAACTTTTGTGAAGTCCAATTTATTTATTATTTTGCTTGTGCTTTTAGGGTCATATTAAGAAACCATTGCTAACCCAAGGTCACAAAGATTGACACTTATGTTTTCTAAGTTTTATAGTTTTACCTCACACATTTAGGTCTATGATTATTCTTATTTTTTTAAAGATTGTATTATTTATTTTTGTGCACGCACGAGAGAGAGAGAGAGAGAGAGAGAGAGAGAGAACAAGCACACAAGCAGGGAGAGCGGCAGGTGGAGGGAGAAGCAGACTCCCCGCTGAGCAGGGAGCCGATGCAGGACTCGATCCCAGGGCCCTGGGATCATTATCTGAGGTGAAGGCAGATGCTTTTAACCAACTGAGCCACCCAGGTGCCCTAGGTCTATCGTTGTTGTATTAATTTTTGAGTACTATGTGAGGTAGGGGCCCAACTTTCTTCTTTTTTAGGGGAGTATCTGGTTATACCAGCACCACTTGTTGGAAGGCATTACTTTTGATTTATAGATTCTGGAGTACTGACAGAGGCTGGTGGGCAAAATACTTTAGGAAAATTGGATGGTTCAAATGACCCATATATTTATTTGCTCTGCCTACCTACCCTTTCATGTGGCCTTCCAAATTCCGTCGCCTCACAGAAAACAATACTACCTTTACCACAATGAAAAAAAGAGGACAATCTTAACAGATGAAAGGAACAACAGGAAACCAAAACAAAAGCTATAAAGATAGAAGACTCAAATGTTGTGGCCAGAAACTATTTGCTTTTGTCTGGATTTATAACATGCAGACTTAAACTAAGGGTCTGAAGTGTTCCTTCTGTAGCCATAGAAACAATTTAGTGATCCATTAAGGAAGTTGCCCAAATACCCACCTAAGCCAACTGCTGAACATAAGGGGTCCACTTCCCCTAACCGTAACTGTCAAAGCACCCGTGGAATGGTTTATGTGTGTGTATATATATATCTACCTACCATATCTACCAAGTGTTGCTTGACTACTACCTTGATATGGATCCTATCTCAGGTATCATTGCGGTCACAGTGACACAGAAAAAAACTGTTTATACCTCTGGTTATTTGCCTAACTCATCCTTTGAGACTTAGTCCTTGAGTCACTTCCTCCAGGAAATCTTTCTTGACCCTGTGCCAAGGAAGATGCTGCTCATCCATTGCTTCCAGAATACCCTTTGCATAGTGCCTCATCAGGCACCTATTTATATGATTTTTAGAGTTACCTTCTTATGTATCTGTCACAGTCCAGTGAACTGTGAGCTCCTGGCCAGTAAGGGCTGTCCTACATCTTAACATTCTGAGTGCCTCAACTACGGTCTGCTCCACCGTGAGTACCAAGTGGGTATTTAATGATGTGCTGAAGGAAAAAATGAATGAATTTTTCCTTTCTATTGAACTCTCATAGGCTCATCGAATCATTTTATCTAAAACAACCCATTTACTCCTCTTGGACATGCGATATTCCCTGTCTCAGTTAATGGCTCTCTAATCTACCAAGTGGCTCCAATCAGAAATCTGACTTTTTGACCCATTTCATGTTCTTGTCCTGGTCCAAATCCACTCAAAGATTAAGTTCTGACAATTCTACTTCCAAAATATTGCTTGAATCCAATCTCCTTCTCTCCAGCATTCCAGCCATTCCCCATTTTTTTCCTCCATGGCTTTGATATTGTTCAGCTATTACAAAACCTCCTGAGTGATTTCCCTGCCTAGACCAATTCCCGTTAATCCAGTCTCCAGAGTAATTTCCAAATGATTTGCTTCAAATGCAATCCTGATTGGCTCACTCCTATTTAAAACTCTTTCATGGCTCTTCTTTACCTATGGTATAGAAGACCAAGCTCCTTAGAATGGAAAAAAGGGCCCTGCCTTTCTTCATCTGCAGCCATTGCCTGCCTCACACAATGAGGTTCCAGAAATACCACAGAGTTTATAGAGCCTGCTCCCCCCAACTCCTGCTAAGTCATACCACTAGGCCTTTGCTCATGTTGCTCCTTTGCCTACTATATCCTTTCTTCGCCCAATGACTAATGTTCAGGATACTGCTCAACATTTTCTGCACAAAGCTGCCCTTGCACAAGTATCGTTTTGTGAGATTATATCTCCCACCAATCAAGAAGTTCCTTGAGTGCATATTTTTCATCATTAATATGCAGCACTGGGCCTCCAACTCAGCACAAAGTACATGTTTGGTCACTTCATGCTGGAGCATCTCAAAACATTCTAATCTGGTTCTGCAGAATTCTAAAGATGACTCCCCTGCCCAAGACTTCTCTCCCTTAGTTATTAAATCAAACACTACTTTAGGTACTGCTGTGCTGTGAAGGGATTTTATAGTTGTGATAAAAAGCCTAGGGCAGTTGAATTTAAGATACAGAAATTATTTGATAGGCCTAAATATATAAACCCTTTAAAAGGCATATGAAGGAGGCAGAAAGGAAAGTCAGAGAGATCTGAAGCCTGAGAGGGGCTCTATTATATGCCATTAGTGCTTTGAGGATGATGGGGGTCATATGAGAAGGAATGAGTGGTTCTAGAACTGAGGGGTTAGCCAACAGATAATAAGGAA